TATTCTCTTTATTAAGTAATTGTCAAAAATATTAAGTTCTTTGTTTGAGATCCACACTAAATGCTATCTCTGCAGAAACATCTAAATTGGTCTTATAACCTTGAAAACATCCCGATTTCGGAATGTGTTGAACACGTAGAGAACAGTTTTGTTAACCAAAGAAATTGATGAATTCATTTGGTGTATATAGGTTATTTTAAACTAAGTTTTTTTCAACAAAGGTCTAAAAGTACTTTTCTTATGGTACATATTTTTGAGAAAAAGACAAAGTTTCCCTTAGAATTTTTCAAAATATTTCATTGACCAAGTTTTTTTTTTGGAAGAAATACTATTTATTTCAAAATTACATTATGATCATATCTTAATTTTCGTTCGTTAAGTATAGTATATTACGGCGTGTACTCTTATTTTATTCAAAACGAAACAAAATGCGGCAACTAGGTTAACGACATGATATAGTGACTTCCGGTACAACGATATCTCCTAAGTTATTATATTTATGTAGAAAAATGAGATTTCGACATCAACAATTTCATGCCGATCAATTCAACACATTGGACAATGATTTCAAATCGAAATTTTTATATGAATTCAAAGTATATCATTGATAGTCTTGAACCATTGAAGGTAAAGGGAAAGTAAATATTGTTATCAAATCGTGATATATCAATGGTTGATATTTACAGCTGGTCGTTATCGACAGGTTTATATAAAAATAAACAATTCATAAATCACACTAATATCATAAATCACCAACTTCAATTCTTATAAATGTCTATTCTTTATAACCAGCAAGATGAAAATTGTCATGAACAATATTGGCCCAAGCTAAATTCTGTAGAACGAATATAGCAAAAATCGTTCTTTAAAAAAAACATAACGAAGCAACACACATATAGTTTGGAGGTTTATTTATATAATCTGCACAAACGTGACCATGATTATTTTTCGAATACGATAAATTACGAAAATCAGTCCGAAAACGGCCTATTGTCCGATTCGAATGACCAGACGCTTTTCCAAGTCAGCCTTTCAGACTTTTATTACTAGCAAGGCTCAGGTCTAGTCGTCTACTCGACGAATCACACCGAAAATTTCAAACGAAAGAGTGCAGATATAAATTGTGATATTACACCCTACATATAAAACTTCCCCTTTTTCATCAAACATAAAATTTTATGTAGGGAAATTTAACATTGGAGTGTGACTTTCTATAAAATGGTAGCTTGGCTTCGTTATCTCGCTCGTGAAATGCGATATCCTTGGTAAATTTGTTACCGTTTTCGACTAATATTGTCCTTTTATATGCAATTAAATATTATATATCGACAGAACAAAGACTAGTAAGAAGGTATTGGCGTTTCATTTGTTTGTTCACAGCTCAATTAAAATCTTAATAAAATCTATATTTATTAATTAGCACGTGGTTCATAGGTCAAGGGTCAAAGAAACCTTTGATAAAATTTTTGATCATAAAGGTATCGTATTAGAAATCTACATGCAAGGATCATGAAAAAGATTAACTAGTTAAAAATTGTTAAACTATGATATTGTGATCATAAAATTAAAAAGTCGACTTCGATTCACTTTGCCAAAATTGGCGATCTGAATTTGCCTTTTTTTTCAAATTTTAGCAGGTTATTGTTTAATTGAATCTATCAAGATTTTCATTTCATACAGTTAATAATGTCTTTGATGACGAAGAATTAGGTCCTTCAATATTCGGAAAATCGGTATAAATGTAATTTATATTTCCCTTGGTTTTTCAATTTATAACTGAGAATAATATCACCACGTTGAAATAGCGTAAAATGATACCGATTGGACCTTTGTAACACCGAATTTCTCTTTTTCAAGTACGAAAGAGGGGTAAGACAAGGAGACGTCATTATGCCTTTGTTCTTCAATATAATTGTAAATAGTATTTAATCGATACATTTTTCATAATATTAATGTATAACTAAATGATATCATTGCATCTGGGTTTACGTTAACATTAAATTACTACGCTAGTCGCACGCTTCGTTAAATGCAAATTCAATGAATAAAGATCAAATTGATTTAATTTGCTGTTCATTTTGTCTATTCATTAGCATGTATTCATTGTCCTAGATAAAACGACGTATTATCAAGATTGAGGTGACGTAACGTCTCGGGCCGTGATTTGTTCAGTCACGTAACGCCTCAATTGAGCCTTAGAATTGTTACGTAATGACGTCAATAAGTGCCTGAATGAAGTTGTGACGATATTTGCCATGTTTTTGATAATCGGTGAAAGTTAAGGTCAACAGTCCAAGATAATTATATAGATTGAAATTATCTAAAGTAAACTGTAACACGAATATTGTATAATGACCCATAGGGGACAGATCATACATTCACTTTCTCGGAGATACAATATTTACTCTAAAAAAATCAATCACAGGGCCTCTGGTGTTTTGTCTCTGTCAGCAGCGGGAAAACTCAGTACATGTGCTGCTCAAACGGATCCCACATTAGCATTTTTGATATGTGCTTTTGTACACTTTTTAATAAAAATTTGGCTCATGTGTAATGCTTTTCAGCTCAGTTGACAATTTGTCTGCCGGTACTAATATCTTACAATTGGGCAGAAAAGAGTCAAACTATTACATACTATTGCATTTGAAAGCATTTCGCTAATTTGAGAAACAACTCACAAGGTTAAGCCAATACCTTGAAAGGTGCATAAAAGACCTACCAAAGGTACCAGGACATAATGTCGAGGTTTGGAACCAGGAAAATATAATCATGACAAAGGTACGTGATAAGTGTAAGCTTGATTTACGTAAATGCTTTAACGGCGGACAATCTGCAATCACGACATAGGTACTTGAAAAGTGTAAGCTAAGTCCACGCATACCTCCCTATCACACCCCGTCACAGTCACCCTACTACATGAGCTAAAAGACTCTATGATAAATGATATGTAATAAAATTCGACTGTCATAAAAGGAGTGAAATTTATCTTAAGTCAAGATAAGAAAGAAAATAAATTGGATGATTTATTATACAGGTATATCTCGAGATACGTTTCAGTTGAGATGGGGTTTTAAAATAGGGGTCAATACATATGGTCCCTACGTTTTTCTATCTTTTTTATGCCAAGTGGATGCATGGAAAAGCTGAGCCTTAGAAACTTTAAAAATACTTACTCAGAATCTTCGAAGTTAAGGTCGGAATATTTTGGGCGTAACTTGGTTTGGAATTCGATGTTCGGAAGAATTTGCTATATTCATGGAAAACGACTCATATGTTACAATTGTTTCAAAAATAAGTACTTAAGTTAAAATCCTTGCATAGATTTTACCAAAATAATTTACCATTGACATTTTCAAGTGAATTTTCTATTCCTTTTTTTGTCTATACGAATCGTTTTTCCATCAGTAAGACTCAATTGTGGAAAAGCTATTCGAAATAATTTTTGCATTCTTCAGAATATTTTTAGTCGAGGAGATCAATTTTCAGTCATTGGAAATCATTTTTTCAATCAGTAAAAATCATTTGTGCAGTAAGAATCATTTTTCAGGCACTTGAAAATATTTTTCCCCAGTAAGAATCGTTTATTGGGTTAGAAATTATTTTTCAGTTAAAAGAAATCATTTTTTTTTCATCAGTAGAATCGTTTGTTCAATCAGTCAGTCAGTTAAATAATACATGTGTTAGCAAATTTGTGCTCAGGTTATCATTTATTTCGGCAATTGAATAATACAAACACAAGATACGAATAGGAAAAATATTTAAATTCGGTCATGACAAGCATAATCTTGTTTTATTATAAATAAAAAGAAAAAAAATCGTAGATTAAACTGATAGTGAATAAAAATCCTTGAATAGAAAAAAAAATTATGAATGAATATTTTTTCAACAAAAAATATTATGATAAATTATCGTGAAGCAATTATAATGTAGTTTTTATCAGGTAATAAATTTCGGGAGAGTAATTGACATTGATAATGTCTTATTAGTCAAAACCTAATAGATTGAAATACCTGTATTACTTAGTAACTGACTGATATACTCAATATTTCTCATAAATATAACAATCAAAACATACGATTAGAAAGGACTAATGCAAATGACATGGTCTCAGACGTTGCCAAAGAATTCCGAAAAACCAGTGCCTAACAATGGATGGACCCAAGAAGATATATCTCTACTGAAAAATGAAATCAGAAAAGATGCATGAATTTGGACAAGATCGCTTGCGAAAGCATGTCCAAAACAAAAACCTTAATATCCGTGTAATTTATGTATGATTATCATCTCTATATTATATTCATATTGTACATACCAAATTTTTGTATTAGGAGAGGGGTTATATTGTCGAAAGCCTGCACCACGATCCATGTGAATAAAATATGGTTTAAAAAAGACTTTTAAGCCATCAAATTGGTCTTCCTTTACATATTAGATCCTAATATTTGATATGTCTCGTAGGTATATATTCCAAAAAATATTAGATAAGATACTGGTAAAAATTTGTGATATAACGGTTCAAGAATTACAGGGATACAACGACAATTCAGAATTCCCAGCACCAAAAAAGTCCAATTTTGTGTAAAAATCCTTTACATTACAACGGGCGGACACGAGACGACAGAGGTTTACCTTCGAAATAAGTCTTTTCTTAATACGCTCCAATGTTTCAAAATATCAAGATCCTTATAAAGAAAGATATTCAATAATTTCAGAGGAAATTCCACAAAAAGGGAAGAGAAAGTATGAAATATATTGAGTGATATGTCTGGAAAGCGCCGAATATTTCTGCAAGTTTCAAACCGAATATTGCCACATAGTGTTTAGAATCCATTATCCCCCAAAACGTTCCCTTCTGTAACTTCCCTGTCACTTTTGACAGTTCTGTAAATTTTATTTCATGATATACAGATGAATATTACCTGTCTGAAATAAAGATAGGCCAACAATATTGAATGAAAATGGGTGAAAATTCCACCAAAATATTTAAAAAATCTACTCACCCTTGACATTAAATAATCCGAACCATCGCCTTCTTCATTTTTAAAAACAATGTCAGGATTTTCATTTTTCACAAGATTTTTGAATTTTTCACTGTTTCTTCGTATTTTCCCATCACTTATACCACTAGCACCGAGGGTATTTTCCGAAACGTTTGGTACGTGTTGTTTGAAAACTAAAGGTGTGCGTTTCCGTGGACGTCTGCGACTACCAGAACCTCGTCCAGGTCCACAGGCGTGTGTCAGTGACGTAATGAAAAGGAAGATAAATGTCCAAGAACACACAGATTGGAAGGAAAAAAACAACTTCATTTTGATTTTTAAAAATGGAAGCACAATTTATTCCGTTTCGTTTTTTTTTTTTTTTTTTTAAGTTAATTGCAGAATTTTAGGTTTCACACTTCCACTTAAGATACCAATTAATGTATGGAATAACAAACCGACCATTCTGAAAGTATATAGTTACATAATTTACTTAGAAAATTATCAAAACTGCCTAATTCATTTAAATTACCGTCTAAAGAATGCCAAAAATCAAAATATATTGAAATTTGGTTTTCGTTCGACTATATCTACAATGTCTATGTCAATCTCAAATCTTCCGTTCTGATTGGATAAACACTTGTGACATTCTGGTCTCTGATTGGTTGAAATGTTTAAAGTATTAAATATGTTTAATAAATGGTACAATAGATAGATCACGTGACCAGATATCTAATTACCCAGGTACTATTCTTGGGATTGATTCAGTTTATATTGATATCGGAGACAGGTAAACTTATATACTACCCATATATTTGAATATTAGGGTCGGGCTGAACCTATAACGCATGCCCGTAGTATACTCCTATGCTGATTTGTGACACGCAAATGACGCCGTCATTGATGGAACCACATCATGCCGAGTTCGATATATACCTCGTCAGCCAATATAGATTGAGTTACATTGTACATAAAAGTATCATTCGCATGCCCAAAACCAAAGATCCGAAATTATATCAAATTTACATCATATATCAAGTTAAACATGTTATTTTTAGCTCAAAAGTGTCATTCTCTTTGAAGCCAAGGAATCAAAATATACGCGAGTATGCATTCAAAGAGATTAGGCGACATGGAATTTACTTCTGAAGCTTGAAAAAAGTTTAATGCCGAACTAAACAGATACTTTGAAAATTGGGTACGAATCTGATTTAGCCTAACAGTAAGGTTTTCTAGAAGAAGAGACTATGTGCTATGGGGGAGTCACTGGTTTAACAAAATAATGTCTTGCACAGCTCTATTAGGTCCATGTCAGATGAAAAAAGAATTTCCAATTTAACATAGATGAAATAAGAATTTCCAATTTAACATAATAACCTTATACGACGAGACTCGAATTCATGTGCTATGGGGTTGTCGCTGGTTTGACAAAGAAATATCTTGCACAGCTCTATTAGGTCCATGTTAGATGAAATAAGAATTTCCAATTTAACATATACTTAACATTGAACATTGCTTCATCCCTGTTAAAGTACCTTCTGTTGACTGGTACTTTGTTACCTTTCAACCTCCTTAACATTATTCAACCTATCAATATTCAGTCTTACCTTATACCTCATTATTTAATAAAAATCCATGGATAATAAGGATGCAGACTTCTATAAAAGTTGATGATCTATCGAATTATTGAAAACATTGCACCATAAAAATAACCTTTGACCAAACCATTTTACTTCCATACTTAAATTCTGTTAATTTGCCTTGTTGAGTTTTGATTTTGTTGTAAAGTATATGTAATATCTGAAAATATACAAAACAGAAATCGTGATTGACGGAGTAGGATTTCATGATATACTGGATTTCTTTCTGAAAGAGCATTTGAAACTATGACATAACCATCTTCAATGCTGTCATCTTTGGACGATGTACTAGCCTACTGCACGGACATTCTGGTTAAGGTCCATGTATAACTAAAGTTTTGATGACGAAATAAAGTAATGATTTTTGGTGAGAGTAGTTAGAAGAAAGCCAAACAGGTAACTTGCAAGGAAGGTGAATTTCCACTATAATTCATAAGTTAGAAATACCATTTACGACACGGCATAGCCCTTATAAACATTTGATATGGCAATCCCAAGCACATTGCTGTATCATTTTGATATTTGTGAAAGGCATCACAAGTAATAAAACACTCAATAATATATGATAACAAATAAACAATATTGCCAATTGACAAACCCAGACGCAGAGTGCTAACTGGCATATTCTTTTTCTGAAAATAAACGGAATGCACATGTACTTGCATGTTTTAGTATCACGCATCACGCCATTGTATCATCTGTGTAGCAAAAATGCTAACTTGATCAAATACAAACTATATTGCATTCGGGATAAGCATATAAAGCATGCTTTGTGACATGTAATACACTCACAAGAATTCCACATAATATATACATACCCATTGGGAAAGAATATCAAGTCATTTTCACAAGAACCACACAAAGATCCATAAAAAAAATCACACGTATAAAGCCTAACAACTGACAATATTGTTGAATAATGAAATGATTGAATCAATGTGTCTACTGACCGCTACTCCAGCCACAAACTGACCATTACAACTCAATCTATATTCAGTTCACTCAGACCAATTCAATAATGACCAGTGTAGACACGATAATAGGCAACTGTAAGGGATTAAAATCCAGAATGTCGCTAAAATTTTAGCTGGGCTTGAAAATATACAAGTCCGAGTCTCTATATTTGTCAAGAGATATGACTTGATAGAAGATTTATATCAAGGAAAAGACGTAATGGAGATTTACACCCCACTTTTCACTAGAAATTTTGTTAAATTCATTCCATGCCGAATTTCGGATTTTTCTTCCAATGATTACAACTTCAGTTTACGTGGATCCTGTCTATCAAGGTCCTTGTCCAAACCTCTTAGAAAATAACCTTAACCAGATTTTTCATATCCGTCTACAGCTGGATCGACTGGAATAATGAGGAAAGGTGACTTATTTAAAGTTACCAAACGTTCATATAAGCTGACCGAAACTAGAGTTAGTACTTGCAGATATGAACAACTTTACATAACATTCCATAAAAAATAGCAATATTTGCTATGGGGAAATTAAGACGGTAGTTTCCAGAAAAGTTTATCTTTCCAATTCTACAAAAATCTCTGGAGCTGAGACACACAGTCTCATAGTGACATCGGGTGTTCCGGAAGGGTAAGCATGTCCTATATCGTTGGCGAGACCTGTCACAGTACTAACTTAGTGGGGTTCATCCCAGTCGCAGAGCAGATTGGTATCAGGTGTTAATGATCGACGAAAGAAAAGACTAAATATCGCTAACCATTTACCGGCCTAGGTACTCCAAGAGAATAGCCGGATAGCAGACAGTTATTTCGGACTAGTCTAGGTAAAAGTTTCTATAACATACACTAACATGTTGACATTAGTTTATGTTCACTTTTGACTTTTAAAACTTATTTTTTTAACGTGTATTAACATACCTGATAGAAACTACCATGTTTTCACCTCGACTTCAATCAAAACACAGGTACATTGTAATTAGCACAGGTAACAACGTAAAAGGTGAACATCCACTAAATAGTCCAATGTGCAACGAAATTTTCACTAAGTCTAGAGCTCTAATCGAAGAGAATATTACTAACAATATCGCAATTGTATGCAATCCTTATTTTGAGCAGGTAAGAGGGCCTGGCATGGAAAAAGCGTTTAGTCGTTCGGATGGGGCAATAAACCTAGGCCCCGTATGTTACATGCTATGCACATTAAAGATCCCTCGACAGTTGGAAATCGGAAAATAGCTGACTGCTGTCGCTGTTCTGGCAAAATTTCCCTCATTGCACCCTACATGGCGTTGCCAGTCTTTATTAGTCCACATGGTGCAGGAAAGTAGGACGTAAAACTCCATGCATTTCATTTTAAATTAGATTTTTGATCTGATTACAGAGAGAATCTCAAACCATACATCCACGAACACCAAAGCTATTTTATAACTGAAAAGTGCACTGGATGTTGTTGTTTTCAAATTTTCATATATTGGGGCACAACCATTTGAGATATAGCGTAGCTTCCTGTAACGCTCTCTTGACCTGCTTGATTAGTGTCGAACCCCGCGACCATTTTATTATTATTACATTATTTTCTTAGAAATTTGAAAGCTAAAGAACTGTGCACTTGATTTGGATATCGACAACTGGGTCATCTGATATAACCATATAGGGTTATCAGAGACAAAATATATACACAATATTGACTTATTAGTATATGCTAATTATATTCAATTTTATACAGTTTCAGCACGTGCTGATAATCCACGTTAATCTCCAGCCAACAAGCAACTAGGTTATTGGGGTGATGAAAAAACTGTAACCAAAATAGCTCTACACCACTGTCTTCTTTGTATTGGTTCGGTTTAAACACACTTGGCTTTCCATGCCACTATTATATGGTATATGACATCCAGTACCTCAGCTATAGGTATAGTTCTGCAACTATTGGTACATGTATTAGTAACGAATAATGCAACAACCACAGTCAAAACTACAATAAAATCCAATGCATTGCACTGTGTGGGAATTTTATCAAGATAATGATACCGGTGAACTCAATGCGGTTGTAGAGTCCGAAATGGTAATCCCAAGCAAGCTGTCCATTACCAGATATCATCAACTTGTATGAGATTTGACAATCCGAAAACCCATCAGAGTAACTATATAGCTAACCTGAAGGTTTAACGTTCAATCCCGACATGGGTCGAAATCAAACATTTGGACTTTTCAGCCCGCTCGTCGTCTCGTCGTTCCAGAGTGCCAAAAACCGAGGCCTTCTGCTACAGACTGTGGATGTAAAGGATCCTTCGTCATAGAACTATTGTTGCTTTCTCAGGAAATGTTCCTCATCGCAGAAAAAGGTCCAGAAAAGTAGAACGTAAAACTCATGGCATTATGAAATAATGCGACAGTCGAATGATTCAATGGTAACATTCTCTGTCATCTTATCAAATACGTGAAATCAGTTTCCGGTGTGATAAGACAAACAATCCTTTCAAACTTTTACAACTGCATCATCGATATTGAATGTCTCTGTACACATGGGTGCCGCTCGATTGAAGAGTTCTGAATCTGCCCCTAATCTAACCACTCACCATTCGGGAAGCCCCCACGTGTAGTCGGTGTGGCGGAATAGACGGCTGTCCCGTTACGTCTTCGTCCCCGACATAATATGTTAAACCTTCAGATTTTGAAATCCGTTTCCCCTTATCAGTGATGAAATTATAAATGGAACATCATC